GTTTTCTCCTCTTGGAACCTCTTTCTTGCATAGAGCCTGGACACACGCAATATTGTCAAGCTGTACTTCAAGTTTATCAATTTGCAAATTGCGAGCTAACTCCCACCCTCTTGTTAAAGCCAATAATTCAGCTCTGAAAGCAGTGCTGTAGCCAAAGTTCGAATGGAAGGCTGCAATGAATTTACCATTGTAATCTCGAATAATGGCACCACCCCCTGCTGGCCCTAGGCCCCTTCACAGCTCCGTCCCAGTTCAAAGTGTACCAGCCATAATCTGGAGCTTTCCATGCCACAAAAATCTGCCTTTTCCTTATTGCATTCCCCTGCTCTTCGCCTGGAACCCTCTAAGAGCTCTTTTAGCTTCCTCATAACGCACCTGTAAGAATGCTACAAAGTCGATGGGGATTTCATCTCTTCTATTGAAAGTGAAACAATTTCTCCATCTCCAAATCCACCAAATAGCGACCCCAAAATAAGTAACCCAACATTCTTCATCATCTTGATCCAGATTTTTCATATTTTGAACAATCCATTATTTAATGTTGCCTTGATAAAATTGCTGACTTATCAAGGGGGTGAGGGTCGTCCTCCATACTACTCTTGCCGCAAGGCAGTCTCGGAGAATATGCAAAGTGCTTTCTTCTTGTGCTCCACATATGTAACACTTTGGGTCGTCCGTAAGCTTCCTTTTGAATCTGTTCAAATTTCCAAGAATTCTATCATGGCAAGCCAACCATAAGAAGGCTTGAATGCGTTGTTGGACTGGAGCTTTCCAAACAACATCCCAACATTCTAGTCTCATGGCGCATAATGCAAGTGACTGAGCGAATGGTGAATTTCCCCTTAATTCCATCTTTCCAGTACACCAAGTCACCCAAGCTTGAGCCTTTTCGCACCTCATGGTTTTGAATTTTCTTGAGAGTAACAACATCAAGAAAAGGGCTAAAAATGTTTCATCTCCATCCAACATCTTCTTCCTACATCTCTCGAATCGTGACTCCTGCTAATTCATCTGGCACTGGGTGTGTAACAAGGTCACTTAGAGGTCGATCTATGCACCATCTATGATCCCAAAATAGGGTCTTAGTGCCATCCCCTATTGCTTTTCGCATGCCTTTCTCTATGAAATTGGCGTTTTCAATTATACCACTCCAAACATTCGATATCCAAGCCTTTGGTTAGAACATGTCGATATCACATCGACCCTTACAATACTTAGCTCGAAGCACCCTAGCCCAAAGGGCATTTGGTTCTGAAAGTACATGCCACCCTAGTTTTGTGAGAAACGCAGCATTCGCTTGTTTAGCTGAGTGAATCCCAATTCCACCTTGATCCTTGGGATGTTGCAACATCTCCCATGAAAGTAGATGCACCTTTCTTTGTTCATCATTGCCACCCCAAATAAACTTACGGGTTTTTTGTCAAGTGTCTCGCAAGTGGACTTAGGGATTTTGGCTGTTTGCATTGAATACATAGCCATAGTCGATAAGGTAGAAGTTACAAGTGTTATTCTTCTAGCAAGGGACAAGTATTTCAACTTCCACCCCGACAACCTGCGATCTATTTTCTCACAAAGATGATGGAAAGTTTCTTTGGTGACCCGGCTTGTAAGTGTTGGCATCCCCAAATACATCTCAAGATCTTGAGTTGCTTCCATTTGGAAAGCCAAACTGATGTTTGATTGAGCATACGAATCAACATTTTTTGAGAAGTAGACTCGAGACTTGGCTAGGCTTACTTTTTGGCCCGAGGCCTCACAAAATCTACAAGAAAATCATGAATTACTTCGGGTTGATCAACAATTGCTTCCGCAAACAACATGATATCATCGGCAAAAATGAGATTAGAAAGCACCGACCCATCTCTACCAGCCCGAATTGGCTTCCACCTTTTTTGTATGATTGCTTTCTTAATTGTTTGATAAAACCTTTCCACACACATCACAAACAAGTAAGGTGAAAAGGGGTCACCTTGTCTCACCCCTCTCGAAGGTTTGAAGCTTTGGGATGGTTCTCCATTCCATAGAACTTGAAGTGAAGCCGAGGTGACACACTCCATAATTAGTTCTATCATAAATATGGGCAAGTTCATTTGAACCATTATATCTTGAATAAAGGACCATCTCAATTAAACATAGGCTTTTTAGAAGTCAATTTTGATCGCCATATAGCCTTTTTCACCTTGCTTTCTTCTCATTGTGTGGATGACTTCTTGGACAATTACAATGTTGTCTGTCATTTGACGCCCCGACACAAAGCTTGCTTGTGTATTAGAGATCAAATGAGGAAGGATAGGATTTAATCGGTTCACAATAACTTTTGTTACCACTTTATATGCCACGTTACATAATCCAATATGATGGAATTGTGATGCTAATTCCGGCTGTTCAGTCTTCGGTATCAAGGTAATGAATGTGTCATTTAAATGCTCAGGCAACCCCTTTCCTTCAAGAATTGGCATGATTGATTTGTACAATGTGTCAGCCACTACATCCCAATTTTTTTGGCAGAACAAGGCTTGAAATCCATGTCTTTAAATACCCTTTCCACTTTAAACTTTGAGTATGGAAGAATAAGAGCCGACCAATCTTGTGATAAGAGTTCTGGAAATATATCTTAAGGGAGATTAATATGGTCAGGTTCACCTTCTTCTTCGAATAATTTTGAAAAATATTGCACAACATGGTTCCTGACCTCGACCTTATCTTGTATCCATTGGTCATTATCTCCCTTCAACGCTTCAATCTTATTTTTCCATCTTCGTACAATCGTACTTAAGTGGAAAAAGTTTGTATTGCGATCTCCATTTTTTAACATTTTGATTCGAGACTTTTGATACCAAAGCAGATCCTCCCTTTCTAAAATTTCATTAAGTGCGCGCCTCAATTTAACTTCAAGCTTGATGAGGCCTCGATCAGCCTTGATGGCTAATTTCTTTTTCACACCAGCATTCCGCGCAAGTAACTGTCGCTTTTGCTTAAAAATATTTCCAAACACATCTTGATTCGTTGCAAATCACTTAAGAGTTTCAAGAGGGATGTCAGGAGATCACTCTGATTATCCTACTTTTCAACTACAAAATCTTTGAAGTTTTCGTGGGTTAACCATGTAGCTTGGAATCTGTATGGGTGATGAATAGCTTGAAAAGGAGCAAAGCCATTAGGGGATATAAAGAGGAGGAAATGATTTGAATGTACAGCCGTAAGATGTCTCATTGAAGCCTTATCAAACTTGATTGACCATTGATTATTACACAAGGCACGGTCCAGCCTAGCACTTTGCCTAGTCTCGAGAGATTTGCCTCTTGACCAGGTATGTGCAGCCCCTGCAAAGTCCACCTCTAAGAGGTCCATTTCTTCGATCTATTCATTAAATAAGGCTGATCTTCTATTGGTTTCATGGCAAGATTTATTTCTTTCGGAGGGGAATCTTGTATCATCAAAGTCTCCCATAAGAAGCCATGGTTCATTGTGAGTCGAAGCAAAATTCTTAAGCTCATTCCAAAGTCCTTTTCTCTTTGTAGGATTGGGACTTGCCACACAACAGATAAATAGCATGGTAAAGCTCCAACTCGAGAAATCTCCATTGTGATGTGTTGATTATGCTTCAAGATCAGGCTTACAGTCACGTAATTAATTTTCCAATAAACCCAAATCCCTCCACTAAATCCAGCTGCATCGACCCTTGTGTGACCACCATACCCAAGAATAGAGGCAATTTTGACTGCTTGCTTGCCTCCTATATGTGTTTTGACTAGAGTAAGCACATTAGGTTGGTTGATTTTTATAAAATCTTTCAGGGTAGTAATGAAATTTCTACTTCCTACACCTTGCACATTCCACACCATACAAGTAATTGGTAAAGAATCTAGACTCAAATTTGGGATACTATCTTCCATATCAAACGGTATAGAGGGTAGAGATGACACATAAGCCAGCCTTATTAGATTCAGCAAACCCTGAAATTCAATGGGAATTTTTGTTGTTATCACCAACTTAGGGGGGTTCGAGATTGGTGGTAACATTGATTCCATTTGCATCTCCATCACATAGATTAGGGGGCACATAGTTGCTAGGTACGGTCAATCCATTAGCATATCCACACATAATATCTTCTTCGGTGGTATTGCTACCTTGACTGGGGAGGGAGCCTAAGACATATATAAGTGTTGGCTAAAGCTTGCTCAATGTGGATTTGTGATTGCTGCTCTGTTTCTTCTATTGTCATAGATCGAGGTGGCTTCTAAATTCTTTTCCTTACTAACTTTGAATGCAAACTCCAGATTTTCTTTTCCTTGCAAAATTTGCCTTGTATTTTTTGCAGCAAAATATGGAGCAATATTCATACTTTCCTTCAAAGGGGTAGCTATCTTTTGTGTTGCTATTTTTTTCTTTTCTTGGTAGTTTTATTTGGAATATTTTTTAATTTATGATTCTGTTGACTTGAAGGGGTTGTATTTACTTTGAAGATAATTGATAGAATTTGTGTAACTTCCATGTTTATCACTAGAGATTTCAACAATATATTCCAACTCATTAATTATATCCTTTTTTGGTTCCAAATCATCCTTAACTTGCGTGTGCAAAATATCAAATCTAGAACCTCCCCCTAGATTTCCTCCACTAATTGCGAAAGATTTATTCTTTCCAAAATTTGTTCCAATCTTTGCTGCCCCTGGAGTTGCTTGCTCTGCCATCTTAGTGCCACTTACTTTGTCCCTAGCCACCTTTGTAACAGGTTTGTCCGGTTTGGAGTTTCCCTTTCTTGCTGGTTTCCTAACAAGCATCCATGAACCGAAGTCTTCCTTCTTCTAAGGCTTATGATTTTTTTCATGATGAGGATTATCATGGACAACCATAGAAGAATTTTCCCCATCCATTTTCATCAAAGGACAGTCCTCTTCCACATGACCAAGCTTGCCACACTTAAAACATACCATTAGAATACCTTCGTATTGGATTCTCCAAATACGCCCTTTAAGCAAGAATTTATACAACAAATGTTACGATAGATCGATTTCCACACTAAGCCGTGTGAATTGACCCCTCTCAGCTTGCGCAGTTGTTTTGTCTACTCGAAGAATCTTTCCTATCTTTGTGCCAATATTGTTCAGAAAATTAATATCGAAGTACTCAATGGGCAAGTTTGGTATACGCACCCAAGATGTTAGCACTTTAATTGGAGCTTCATCAGACAAAATATTTGGTATCCACTTTTTGATTGTAAGGTAGTTGTCATCTAGGAGCCAAGGTCCTTGTGTCAAAACATAATTATAATACGCAGAATTTGTGAATCTAGAAATGTAGAAATCACATCCAATGTCAGTGAGCGCAAGCTCTCCCTTGATATTCCACTTCTTTTTCAGTCGTCTCATTAATCCCATGTAACCCAATCTACCACTGAACATCTTAATGATTAAAGAGTCCTTCCATGGTTTCCTTAGCATCTTCTTTTCCTCCTTCGACAACTGAATGAGAGGGCACCTATCATCATTCAGGATGTCTTCTGAGATGTCCTCAACATCAGAAATCTCATCTTCATCATCATCTTCTAAAGAGACGATAGTTTGGGAGTTGGATTCCTTATTTGATAACCCCTTTAGCATATCTCTAAACGATTGACCATTTCCCTGTTGGTTAGGGGTCTGATGTGGAATGGCATTCATTTGCGCATGAATTCCTTCATCCGCTTCTCCCATATTCACATCCTCCATTGCAACAGATTGATTATTTTCATTATTGAAAATAAGATGATTAATTTTTCGTTTGGATTTTTTATTTGATCGGATCAATTGATCCCTTTCTTCAGTTGAATGATTTTCTCCATTCTCATTCACACTCGCTTTCGCTTGGTTTTCCATAGAGAGAACTTTTTTTTCTTATAGAATTTGCATGTGTAAATTGGTAAATATTTTTGTAACACACTTTAGTTTTGGTTCTAGTCATATATTTAAGCTTTCAATTCAGTGTAACGACAATTGTAGCCTTTCCATTTCAATTTAAGTATTGTTTCTTTATCTTACTCTTTCATTGCATGCTTTTATACCTATTGTTCTTTACTTGCCTTAGTTTCTTTTCCGTATTATTTACTATGTACTTAGTTTCCAAGTTCATGGCAAGTTATCTTGCTTATTAGTAGTAGATCTTCTAGATGTAGTTACAAATTGTGAGTAGTCCTTTAGGCTTAGGGGGTGGGTAACTGTTAGAAGTGTCATGGCATGAAAAATTATTTTCTCCTTATTTGTTACTATAATTTTGGGGCTTGCATACTTTGCCAAAAGTTTTAAATTCGGTCTAGGTTTAGGTTTAGGAAAGTGTCTTGGCATGAAATTTTTTTTCCCCTTGTTGGTTATAATTTTAGGGCTTGCACACTTTTTCCAACACTTGAGAGTTCTTATGTGTTAGGAGACTTCTTGTGACCATGATAAGGTTGATCTACCTGATTGGTTTGTACTATGTTCCTTACACATAACCTTGTCCTAAAGAGTAAAAAAAAAAGGTGCAAACTTATTCAAATTGTTTTATTTTTCTCTAGGTAGATAACTCCTATAGATTAGTGTCGTTTTAGATGTGATGCTTCTCTTGGCTTACAATCTCTTAAATGGACCTGGTTCACACTAATTTATTGTGAACTACTAATATTAGAGATATTATGATTGTTTTGTTAACAAAAAAAAAGTCACTATATTAAAATGAAGGCTATTATGTTGAGATAAAAGTTATTGTGGCATTATAAAGGCCATAGAAATTTTTTTTAAAATGAAATTTTTTATATCCTGGTCAATATGAACAATAAATGTCACTATGTTAAAATTAGGGTCATTATGTTCAACATAACGCCGTATTTTAGGTTCACAATAATATTAACTGCCACACAAGTTTTAATAAAGGTTATTATATTATAAATAAGGTTACTATATTACAATTAGGGTCACTATATTCAATTTAACAACAATTGTATGCATATAAACCTCAAGTCTACAATAAGGGTGTGTCATCTATACATTTAAGCATTCATAGAGCCTATTAACTGTGCCGAATATAACATCTTTTATAAGTGGATTAAATTATTAAAAAATAATTTTTATCGAATGAAAACATTTTTTTTGATATAAATCATTAAAAAATATAAATAAATTTTCCTAAATGACTTACAAAACAAAAATAATTAAATAAGATATAAACATGTATTTCTTTTCGAAAATAACTACACTTTTATTTTATAAATCATTTTGAAAGTGTATATGTTTTTAATGATCATATTATCTTATTAATATTGTATTTCTAATATCTTTTTATAATCTGTATACATTTTTAAGCTTGTGTAATGGCTCAGTATTATAGTTCAAATAAATTAGTTAATAAGATATGAAAAATTATACAAATAAGGTTAAAACTATTTATGATATGAAATTATTTATAAATTAACAAATTTCTTAAAACTAAGTATATGTATTATATTTTATTATTGCACGTGTAATATAAGTACAATAAGTCTTGTGTAAGGTGGGTGTACGTTAATTTTATTGTAAAACGAGGTCAGTTTAATGATAACTTTAACTATTTTTATGGTAACTTTAACTACTTAAATTAAATAGTATCTTTTAATTTGTGGTTGGTTTGAATTTTATTTTAATGGTAATTTCTTATAGATTCATGATTACATATCATAAAAGCTAATATGATTAATCTAATACATTATAAGTTTCTGGTAAGATAAAATTTATTATTAGAAAAATAATAACTTTTGTAGTTTAAAGGGTAACTTAAAATATTTTTATGATAACTTTAATCTGTCTTACAATAAATTAATGTACAACCGCCTTTTTGAAGAATTTTTGATATAAGTATGTATATTGATAGATTATTCAAAATTATCATATTATGATTCTCATATTAAATAATTTAATGTTAAATAATTCGTTATTTTTTCATGTTATAAATATTTTTAATAATATTTTATTATAATTAAGTGGATTCAACCTAGCCTATTGGTAATAATTTATCAACTTAGAGCCACCTAATATCACAAAAAAAAAAAAAAAAAAAAACCTATTTGTCAATTGTCTTGCAATTTGGTAATAATTTGTCAAGTTGCGTCATTGCTAAGAGAAAGTCATTGCTATATTTGTTATGAGGGACATATACCTCTGTAGGTGTCATTCGAAGCGTGCCTACTTAAGCATGTTGTGAATATGCTTGGCACTCATATGAAGTGGGAATTGACATATATGATTAGGGACACAATTAGAGACAAAGCAAAGTAGGGAGCCGCCAACAAGTTTTTAAGGAACATGTAAACCGTTCACGAATCATTAAAGGCAACCACGATAAAGGGACAACGATATGCAACAACGATTGACCTGTGAAGGTTACACCCCATTAATAATCCATGAGATTACTAACGGTTCGGAACCACGAAAGGAGGATCGGGGATGATGGTACGAAGTGATTCATGGAGTCACGTTCGCCCGTATTGGCCTCTACTCGATTCTTATAGTGAAAAGTATTCCTGCGATATCAAAGGCATGCACACAATGATTTAATTTGCTCCAAACTAACATCGGGCTAAATTGGTTCAATGTTAATGCAACAAATAATTCTAATTATTAGTGATCACTTGATTAAATAATAAGATTAAAAAGGAACCTAAACCGGTCATTCAAATTATCTTATTAGGTGTTATATTCAATTATATATTCCCTTTAAACATGCAATAAGGTAATCAATACAATAACTATAGAACCATCATTAACATTGGAAGCAATTCAGCCATAATAACGTTAGTAAAATCAAATCATAATAATAAACCTAATCATGATACTAGCAATAAGAATAAAAATAAGAGTAATTAAGTAACTAATTACTCATATTCCGTGCTTCTTTAAATCGCTAAAACATGAATAAATTGTTAATAACTTCAAGGAAAATAATAAATAATAACGGAAATTAAATTAAATTAAACTAGAGTTGATTTGGGGCGAAACCCTCAAACAGTTCTATCTTTCACGCCTTGGTTTAAGCGTAGAGCTATGGGTAAAGTACGGACTCCGGCGAGTGCTTAAGGGATGTATTGTGAGAGAATAGGGAAGGCTAGTGTTAAGGCTAGAGTATAAGAGAGAGAAGAGAATGATTTGGTCCTCGAAACTAGTCAAATCAGCTTCATATTTATAGAGAAAATATGAGGGGTGAGGTACGGGACCCTAAAATTGAAGGCGCCGCTAAATAAAACCCTAGAAAATCGCCGTGTCACCGCAGAAATTGCCGTGGCGTGGCAAATGTTGCAGTGGCACGGCAAATTTTTCCGTGGCACGACAGATTTTGCCGTGTTGCGGCATTTGTGCTTTTCTGAAATCTGTCCAAATTTATTTTAACCTTTTTCTTAAGCATTAAGTACGTGATAATTAGGCGTCGTTTCAGCTATTTTGGGCTTATTTCAGGCTTAGGGTTTTATTATTTATTAATTGTGCTTAATTAATAAATAAAACGAAATGAATCAAAAAGGGTTTGGGCTGAAATGTGAGTTGGACTGAGTTTGACTAAATGTTTGGACTGATTTGTGGACTGAATATGTTTGACTGAATATGGGTTTTAAGCACTCCCGAGATTAAAAACTCGACCCGACCAATAATGACGGTGAAAGGTTGTTCATCAACGGATTTGGTTTTAAGGAGACATTTGTTGTCTACAACCTCTCCCCTATACCTATATTGTATTTATTGTGTTCAACCTGTATTGTATTCATCTTAATTGTTGTTATAATACAATATCATTGCTTTTCTTAAGGTGAATGAAGTACGTTATATTAGACTAGCTCTTATATAAATTTGAAATGATTGCCATTTGATCCTAAGAGTTCAACCTCGCACAGTCGCACTTGCTTATTACTGCTACTACCAAGTTGCAGCATTTTTATAATAATTGAGCCAAAATGGAGTTATATTATTACTTGTGTGCATACTTGACGACGCGTGCATTATGTTTTGGGCACCATTGCTAAGGATCAACCAATATAAAAGTGATGAAATTTGCTTAGATTGTTAAATTTGAGTTGATTGCTAAATGATCTGTGGATATTATTGTATAAATCTTCATTGTGGTTGTTTAATAACTAAGAGGTTGTGGGACTATGTCCATGGGCTTATGGTGTTGGGAAGGGTCACCCTACCGTTAAAGGAAGGAAAGAGAAAGTTTAAGGGAAGAAAAGGAGAGAGAAAAAAATTAGAAAGTAAAAAATAATATTTTTTTAAAAGGAAATTGCAAATGTAACACCCCAGCCACAAACAAATTAGGTGGAACCTATTGTCATGAAATGCGCATCAAGGGCCAACAATTGTCCTCACACACCAACACAAGTCCTTCCGGCGCATTTTGTCCTTACTCATACGCACCTTGGGAAACCTTCCTAGGTGGTCACTCATCCTAAGACTACTCCCAGCCAAGTACGTTTAATCGAAAAGTATCTTAGCATATAAGCTCCCTAAAAGGAAGATGCATCTAGGATCTAGGGGTAATTCCGTTCAGACGTAATTCCGCTAATGCTTCCAGTTATAAAAGAACGGGGTTTTCAGCATATAAATGATAACAATAGGTAATGACCGAAAATATTACCTTTGATTATCGACTCGTACCTTATTTGCCACAAATGAAAGTGCAGTATCTTAATTGCTACTTTCACCAAAGTTCAGTACCAATTGTGATATTTATTCCCCAAAATAAAGGAGAAACAGAAATAATTCCTCAAGCAACTTCTATTAAGAAGTCAACTGAAACGAACCTCATTAATTTCATTGATATAAATTTGCACATTGACTTTTATTCAGTTTTTAGAAGATGAAATGGGGTAAGATGAATTATAATTTATTACTATCCCCATATTTCAACAAAAATGGTCAAAATTATAAACTTGCAAAAGACTTTTAGGGGTGTTTGGTATGGTTTTTTTATAGGGCTGGAAACGAAATCGGGTTACCGTTTTCGTTAGAACATGTTTGGTTAATGAGTTAAGTAACGAAAACCGTTTCTTTCCTCTAACCCGTTCCCCCACTTTGTTTCCGGTGTAAAACTTGGGGAAACAAATCCCGTTTCTTTCCTCCAACCCAAAAAAACAACTCTGCCTCATCTCTCTCCTCTCATACAACAGATCTCCAAAAAAAATTTCCAACTTTGATCGATTGAAGTTACAGATTGCGCTCAGGTTGTTAAATTTTCCTATCTCAAATCTCCAAAAATCCACAATCTCAATCATCACAGGCTTGTTATCTTTCAATTTTTTGTTTAAGAACTCTAGATTTTGAGTTTATGTTGAATTTATATATTTTTTTGTTTGATTGATTGTATTTTGATTTTTCTAACTCGAAATATTGCTATTTTATTTGATTTTTTCGACCTAATTTTTCTGTTTTATTTGAGTTCTACTTTTGTCAATTGAATTTCCTTGTTTTTGCTTCATGAAATTTTTGCTAATATGGTTGAATCTTGATGCTTCCAACGTTTATCCAATTTCCAGGTATTCTCTTTTAATAATGAACAAAATTCTGTAATTAGTCTTGTAACATTATAGTATATAGTTTAATGATATTGTTTTATATGATTATAAATGAAATGCAAATTGCTTACATTATACACTAATCTCTACATGTTTGATCTTTCCTTGATTTAGAAATTATTTCTGGGTGCTCACAACGTGTTTGATAAAAAGCCTAGCTGAAATTAATCGTTTACGTTTCCTTAGTGATACCAAACAACTAGTAAGGGTAACACTAAATAATACCCTTTCCCACCCTAATCTGTTTCCATTCTGTTACCTTTATTAATTTGATACCAAACACCCCCTAAGAGACAAAGAGTGTAGTAGATAGCACTCAAAATATGATAAGAAGTATAATCTACGGAGTATCTAATTAAATTCAATTTGTTAATCAGCTAAAATAAATATGTTTATACAAGTAATTTAAGACGAACCCTAAAATATCCAAAAAAATTATGAAAAAGTACCCTAAGATTAGTCTAAAATCTAATTGCTTGTAACTAACAAACACAAACTATTTTCATTAGAGAAGCTCTAGTTCTGGCTAATTGCTTCAAAATATTGTTTAAACCATCTTCAATCCCTCTCAAAGAAACCTCCAAAACCTCTAATTTCTTCTTAATAATATCACAATCAAAATTCTCTCCTCCATCCAATGCATGTAATACAACATCAACATTGCTCAACTCATTCCCATTTTTTGCCAACTTTTCTTCACTAATTACTGCTTTACTCTTCTTAACCACCAACCTCGAAATCAAACCAAACGAACTCGATTTCGACTTTGACATCAATGGCATCGACAAGAATCGTAGAAGTGACTCAAGTACTGAGACATTTATAATACTAACACATCTCAGTACTCGAATCACCTCGAAATTACCGGACTCATTGAACTCATCATTTCTCGACACTAGACTCTCTTCGACTTGCCTTAGTTGTAAGGCAAGCCCTTTCGAAGTCTTCACAATCTCTTTTCTCAAACAAAAATACTCTGCTACATTATTCATCTCGCTGTTCGAGCATCGAAACACTCGAACAGCTTCTAATAACTTCAACAACAACTCTTTCGAAGCACCGCAGATTTCAAGGAGTCTCGACGATCCCTCGATCAACGGTGTTTCGTGTTTTGCGAGCAAAAGCGAGAGTGTACGGTGCGCAAGAAATGGTAAACTAAGCACATCATCAACACATCTGTACAATTTAGCTAGCCCTGTTAAGCCAATACAAATTGTTTCGGTTACAGAGGTTGATTCTGCCTCGGCTTTCCTTAGCTTGGTTAGCTCGTCCTCGACTTTTCGAAGGATTGGGTTCGATTGGGGTGGGTAGCTAGTTGATCGAGTATGGTTCGAGCTAGCCATTTTTGTTAGTTCTTTCTATGAGTTTATTTTTAGAAAGGTTGATATTAGAAATCTTAATGTTTAAGGGTTAGATGAAGGTAAAGTTGTTATTTATAGAAATAAGAAATAATATAAGGACATAAAAATGAGGAAAAAAAGGAGATCATAACAGCTAAGTGTGGGTTAGATTAAGTATAGTTTTAGTTGTTTTGTTGGCAAAATTTATACCATAAAATTATTAACAAATGTTTGTTACAGCTGTATATGGAGCTCCGTGTGGGTTGTTTGTTGGGTTGGCTGAGAATTGACTGTTTAAGACTTTGAATTTATTTAATACAAGTAATTATGAATTTAAGGTGCAATTTATAGTGATGACTTGAGGCTACATATCTCTCGGAAAGAATTTGACACAAAGACACGATTTATTGACATTCTGACATACCCATTTATTCTAATTTTTTGACACATACCCGTTTTGTAGTTGGGATTTTTTTACTAAGGATTTCACATAATTTTTGCTGAACTAATATTATTTTTGCCAAGCTAAAATTATTTATTAATTTCTATAGAAATAATGAAAACTAATAATCTCACCTTTGTTGGGTCTTCCAAAAACAATCCCACTTTTTGATTATGCCAAAACAATCCCACCTATGACCCCTATCTTCTTCTAGCAATCCCTTTGACATGTAACCAGCTAAAATGGTTAAATATTTTTTCTAAGTCTCTCTCTTCCAATTGTGGCGACTAGTCCACCATCATAGCACTACCCCAAACTACAACCACCCCACACCACCCCCTTGCCGCCATCCCCCACCCACCTTGAAACCCCTAGCCTCACCGGAAAACCCTTAACCCACCCCGAAAACATTGAGCCCAGCCCTAAAAGCCCCACCCCCACCAAAAAAAAACTCCCTAACCACCGTGAAAACCCAACCTAAGATCCGACTACCCCTACCCGGCGCCGAAACCCCCTAAACACCTTGGAAATTATGTTTTATTTTTTGCAAAATGCAATTGTTCTTGGGTGTTTGTGGTGTTTTCAGGAGTTGGGTGGGTTTTTGGCGCCTTGAAGGGATGGAGTACAGCAGCCACGTGTCACGGTCCGAGAGTTCTGACCAAGATTGTGCGACGCTCTTGTCTTCTGGCAACAAGGATGCAAGCCTAGAGCGGGAAGGGTTCGTAAACACACACGAACACGTACCAAAGGTATCTCAAGGAAGCACACATCAACAACGAGTGTGGAGTCGGGGCTTATGACGGCCGATATTTCGAAGCGGGCACAAGCGGGATCGACGATAATGAAGGCGTCTTTTGAGGTTCTCTTTGTTTGGAGGGGATGCTTTAAAATAAAGCAAGCACAATATCTATAAAGGCTTAAATCAACACACAAGTCTTAAAGCAATATGCAGCGGGGTAGGGAGCTTTGATTCATTCAACCATTCGCTCCCTAATGAGATTTATATTGTTTACATAGAGACTTACTAGTGAACACTGAAACTAAAGTAACACAATAATTCTGCCTAGAGCCTAGAAAGCATAAAGAAAGATTTAATAGACAATACATAAGGAAAATACAAGGGAAAAGGAAGGGGGATACATAGAGAAAGAGGCGGAATCTAACATCCTCCCCCACTTAAGCTGTCGACGACCTCGTCTACTTACAAAACAAAACATACACTTAAAGGAAAAGAAATAGCATCTTCAGTCTTCTGTTGCAGGTGTAGTTCTCGTCCTAGTTCTGATGTTGGCGCGGTTGCTAATGTTGCGGTTGTTGTCTTCTAGATCTGGATGATAAGGTTTGAGGCGGCTAACATGGAAGATGAGGTGTATCTTCATCCACGTAGGAGGCTCAACCTTGTAAGCATTCTTCCTAATCCTTTTAGTGATGCGGATGGGGCCTTCATATTTTCTAATTAACCTGCGATTTCTTCCTCTAAGGAACTTGAGCTGTTCTGGCAAGACTTTCACCATAACCATGTCCCCTACATCATATTCCAACGGCCTTCTGTTCTGGTCGGCCCACTTCTTCATTCTCCTCGCTACCCACTCCAAATAAGCGCGAGCAACTTCCATGTTTTGTTGCCACTCTCGCTTAAACTCCCGTGCTTCGCGGCTTCTCCCATCTTCGGATGTTGTTATGGTGTGAGGTAGGAGAGGTTGCTGGCCCATCACTTATTCAAACGGGCTTCTGTTGGATGCAGTACTCTTCAAGGCGTTGAAGCAAAGTTGGGCAACATCAAGGAGTTAGCCCCAATCTTTCTGATTAGCGCTAACAAAATGTCACAAGTATTCCTCTAAGAGACCGTTGAATCTTTCTGTTTGTCCATTAGATTGGGGGTGGTGACTTGAAGACATGTTTAAGTCCGACCCTATCATTCTAAACAATTCTTTCAAAAATATGTTTGTGAATCTTGTATCTCGGTCGCTGATGATGTTGTGGGGCAATCCCCAATACTTTACAATGTGTTAAAAGAACAAAGTCGCCGTCTCTTCAGCACCACAAGCCTTCTCCATGGGATTAAAGGTGGCATATTTTGAGAGATCACCACTATTACCGCTGAATACTGATCCACCTTGGGTAGACCACTAATGAAGTCCATAGATATGCTTTCGCACGGACGCATCGGCACAGGATGAGAATCTAAGAGACCTCCAGGTTTCTGACGATCCACTTTGTCCTGTTAGCAAACCAAGCAGGTCCGAGTGTAGCTAATGACATCTTCTAATAATACCCCATGGAGAGTAAGCTTAAAGTTCTCTGCCAACTTGGATTGTAATTCCCCATATTTTTATATGTATTTTAACTTAAAATAAGTATTTCTTGAAGTATTTAAATAATTCAAAATGAACTATTTATGGTGTTTCATTAATTTAAAAAGAATTATTTTAATTTAAAGCTTATTTTTAATTATTTAATAATCTTGAAAATATTTTATTTCATGCTTTGGAAACTTTGGGGCATATTATTTTTTAAAAAGGTAACTTTTAAGGTCAATGGTATTTAAGGAAAGTCAAGATACTAATTTGAATAGGAGCAGGGATCATTAAGGGTAGAAAGGGGAATTTAAGTAGAAGGGTTTAGAGAGGGGGTATAAATACCCATCAAATGGGCAAATTGAACCTTGCCCAAGGTGGAGAATACCCAAAGGTAACCCTTTCTCCTCTAATTTTCTCTCTTTTTCTCTTATTTCCCCCTTCCCATTATTTCCTTCACACCACACGCCGACCACCACCACACGCCGTTGGCCACCGTTGCAGCCACCAGCAAACGCCGGTGACAGCAGTGCCACCATCGGCGAGCGCGCGACAGCAGCCTTACTGTTGTGTCGTGGTTGTTGGTCTTCGAACAAAAAAAAAATTCTCTTTTGTTTTTAATCCTAATATAGCCTTGATTTAAATATTGATTTTAGGTTTTGTGATGATTTTTATGATGTTCGATTTTAAGTATGATGTATATAAATTTTCAAATTTGGTTTTGAATTAAAAACCCCCATATTATAAACCCTAGGTTTCTAAGTTTATTTATATTGATGGAAATTGTTTATGGGTGATTTAAATTATTGAAATAAGTGTTTTAGAACACAATTACAGCAATTTTAGATGATTTAATAAAGCTGGAATTTTTATATATAAGCTATAATTATGTTTCTTGAAAATATTTTTAATTACCTATTAATTGGGAATAAAAGCAAGGGTTTTAAATTAAATTTTAGCTTGTTTGAAAGGATTTATGAGTGATTTAAGGAGTTTATATATTGCTGAAAATTTATATTGAATAGGTAATATTGCCTCTTTGTAATTTTTGTTTGTAGGAGTTTTCCAAGTGAGTGATTTTGTTTATTCGTGGCGATTTTGAGATCATATTCAAGTACGTTCGCGTACTTGGTAATTATTTGAATATGTAGAAGAATGTCAAGCTTTGATAAGTTAATTCCAAGTAGTATCACAATAGGTGTTGGTTGGAATTTGTTGATTGGATTGATGTTGGTTAATGATTTGTGAGGTATGAATTATTTATGATGAATTGGTGATTGGAATTAAATATGTTGGCATGTTGGATATAAACCACATTTTTATGATTCTCATGATGGAAGGCATGTTTGATTAAACTAAATGTTTAATTTGGTTTGGAATATAAAAAGGAAATTTTATTGTGGTTCATATAATTTTTATTGATGCTATAAGCATGAGGAAGGAGCTATTTAAATGTCTATGTACACGAGGATTAAATTATAATTTGGTGCTTAAGTGCACTTAAGGTGTTCTAAACACCGAGGGATAGGATTTGTGGTGCTTTATGCGCTTAAGGTGTTATTTAACACCGAGGTAGTTTAAAAAGGATTCAACATTAAATTTATGTGGTCACTAATTATTCAAGAATTAAATTGGTATGTTTGATTTCTTGAATGAATTATAATGTTTGATTGTGTTATGGTTTGAGAGTCATCACCAAGTATAATAATATGTAAAGCAATGTAAAGTGAGAGAGATTATGCACCAAACTCTTGGAACGTATATACCTTGAGTATGAACATATGGGGAGAGTTATGCGACTTTATATTTGGCCATAACTTCTACGCGGAGTACAGGACGCTGTATATTCCTTTTTATTATGTGCAGGAATTCCGCCACATACGAGTGGTTCTTTTATACTGGCACGGTTAGCTCCCGTGTTCGTACCCCTTTATTGGGGCAGGTTATGGGGAAACCCGTTCGACGCGTAATCAAATTAAATGGACATTAATATTTGTCTAGTTAAGTGTGAAAGTCTTGCATGCTTGTTTACAGATGCAACAAGGTAACTTGTGTGATGATAGGATGAAAGCATGATAGTTTGTTTTATTACGCTTATGTACTCAGCATTGTTGATTGCGTGTTGTATGTTTGTTTGTCCTTTTCTTTACCTTGGCCCTACAACGACCCATTTCTAATGGCGAGTAGAAGGGGACAAGTAGAGAGAAATTTTTCAGGTGATGAAGCATTTTCATGATGGGCATGAGTGAAGAGCGAATCATGCT